GCAGACCAGGGGCACCGGGAGCAGCTTTTCTCGCCCCGGAGGTCGAGGTGGCGGGACCGCTGCCTGCGAGCTCCGGGGCGAGAAAACCCCGTTCGTAAGTGCGGATCCGACATAAGTCGGATCCGCGTAAGTCAGGGACTGCCTGTATCTATAAAGAAGCATTCAGCAGATCAAAGGATCTAGACTAGGGGCGGGGAACCTTTTTTGGGTCAGGCCGGGAGCAGCTTTTCTCGCCCCGGAGGTCGAGGTGGCGGGACCGCTGCCTGCGAGCTCCGGGGCGAGAAAACCCCGTTCGTAAGTGCGGATCCGACATAAGTCGGATCCGCGTAAGTCAGGGACTGCCTGTATCTATAAAGAAGCATTCAGCAGATCAAAGGATCTAGACTAGGGGCGGGGAACCTTTTTTGGGTCAGGGGCTGCTGACCCACAGAAAAATCAGTCGGGGGCCACACACAAATGAGAAGCCAAAAAACAAAAAAACAAAACCCTCACTGGGGTGGTCCCTTACTGAAAAGGAGAAAGACACTCCCCACATCCCCTTCACACCCAGAGCTTAGTGAGGCCCAGGCTAGTAGATTTTGTGTGCTCCAGTCCTGCAGTAGGCACAGTCTCCCCAGTGCTAGGGGGGGAGGAGCCCTGAGCCTCAGGAGCCGAATCCAGGCAAGCCAGGGGTCACATCCAGCCCCCGGGCCTGAGGTTTCCGATGTGAATCTAGATCTAAAGTCAAAATCTTGAGGTCATGGTTTCAATGAGAACCTGCTTGAGTAAGAACCTGAGAATGTGGCTCCAAAGAAGCAATAATTCTGAATGAGCCAAATTCTGCAACCCTTAATTGAAAAAAAAAAACCCCACACCTCTTTCTTTGACTTTATTGAGAGCTTTGTTTCAAAAAATATTGCAAAATTTGGACCATAAAGAATAATTACCTGGTAATGAGCCTAACTCTGCTGGTACAGAAGAATGAATGACACTGGAGATTGTGTCTTGGCTAGTTGGTTATAGCTCAATCCAGAGAAAACTCAGGCTATGTTGGGGGAGCAGTAGGGAGCAAGCAAAAGAAACAGCAACCAACAGCATGCAAAAAATGAAACACTCACAGCCACACACAAACAATTCTCAGTAAAGGTCTATGGTCAGGGAACCCCTTCCCACCAGAGATCACAATCTGCCTGTTTAGCCTCTTTTAGGAAACAATGCAAGCCCCATTCTCTTGTGTTGGACTTTCTCAGACTAAGCAGCAACATCCTCCTGACAACAACCACCAAGTATTAAGCTCCTTGTTATAGCAGAAGAACTGAGAGAAGAAATTTTTTTTTAAAAAAAAGCCTTTCAGTGCAGAACTGGTGTGATTCTTATTACTGTAGGAGGCACTTAAATGCAAAGGTGATGGGTGCAATGTGACACATAGGATCAAACACTGATGTTTCTGGCCATATTTGTGCCTTTTACTAAAATACTTACACAGAACAGCTTTCTGTACTGAAGTGGAAACTCAGTGATGGTTGTTCTTGTGGAAAATTCTATTTTTGGTGCAATTCCCTTAAAAACAATGAAGAAGTGAAATCACTAACATGAATACCCTGGTGCAGATATTACAGCGTTGCCGTGATGAGCAAGAACAACTCTCTCTAATTCAGTGACATTTCCTCAAGCTTCTTACACATTATTTCAGAAGCAAAAGTGGCCGCAGAAACCACTAAAACCAAAAATATTAAAAACCATGGGTGACTACAGACACCAAAATCATAAGGAACTTGCAATGCAATATGGCAGGAAAAAGAAGCAAAGTGCTCTTGGGTTGCATATTCCGGTAACATGACACTGAGGAGGAAGGCAATGGACTCTCTTTATGGGCCTAATCCTTGCAAAGTGGGAAAGGAGGATGGTCAAGGCCAACAATGCAGAAAAACACCTAAAATGCTAACAACCCCAGAGAAGTATCCCATTCTCAGAGAACTAGAGCTGGGATGAAATGGGAGAAGAATTCCGTTTTTCTATATCTAGATCTAGACATCTGAGAGAGTAGACAGCTCTTTCCTGTTTGCTTAAAAGCTGTATTTACTAAACACCACTCTCCTTAATGGGCCCTTCATGCTCCAGACTACACCTGCCAAACAGCAGTGAAAACTCAATCAGTCTTTCAGTTTTCCTTTCAAAGCAGGTAAAAGGGTCACAAATATTGCAGCAAGACGATTATAGTCTGTAATTAACAGGCACAATCTATTAACTTGCAATCAGCTTGGGAATTGAATTAATGTAGTTCTTATTTCTTTCAAAGCAGTAACTATGAAGACATAGTAACTGTAGAAACACTAAAGACCAAATTATACCTGCTCTGCTTCTACATTTGGGCAGAGATGGCAAGAAAGGGAACAGGAAGCCATAACCTGTCTGCAGGTATTAGAAAGCACTAGACTCAAAGCCCTAGAGCAGAGAGGGGCAAACTATAGCTCACAAGCCACATCTGGCCCACCAGACCCTTCCATCCTACCCCTGAGCTCCTGCCCAGGAAGGTTAGCCCCTGCCCACCCATTCTGTCACCCTCTCCCACAGCCTCAGATCCCCCAACACCTAGGCTGCATACTCACCGTACCACCAGCCCCGGTGATCTGGGTGGAGCAGTCAAGGGATGGCAGTCAGAGGCATTGATAGGAGATGGGGACTCCTGAGGGGGAATTGAGTGTGTGGGGGGTGGGTTTGGATAGGAGGCAGGAGTCCCCAGGGGATGGAGATGGGGGGAGGGGTTGGATAGGGGCAGTGACTCCTGGGGGCAGTCAGGAGCCAGGAGGTTTCAATAGGAGCCAGGAGATACTGGGGGGTGGCCAGGAGGTAAGAAGCAGAGGTAGGATAGGGGGTGGAGGTCCCCAGGAAATGGTCAGGGGATGGTGAGCAGGGAGGGTTAGAAAAGGAAAGGATTCCAGGGTAAGTTAGGGAAGGGAGGTGGGGAGTCCTAGGGGCAGGAAGCATGGGGGGGGGGGTTAGATAGGAGGCGGGTGTCCCTAGGGGATGGTCAGGGATTTGGGAATGGGGGAAGAGTATAGGATAGGGGGTCAGATGGGGGCTGGAGGCCAGGGTTCACTTGGCTGTTTGGGGTGACACAGCCTCCCCTAGCCTTCTCTACACAGCTCTCCACACAAATTCTGAGCCCCAGTGTGGTCCTCGGGCCAAAAAATTTGCCCACCCCTACAGAAAGTGCATCTGCACAGGAAAAGGGCAGGTTGGGGCCCTGTCGTGTGCACAGGCACTAACTGTAAACAAGGGACCTCTGTGGTATAACTTATGTTATTCAGGGGTGTAAATAAGCCATTCCCCATAGCAACATAAGTTATACTAACCCAACCATCAGTGTGGACAGCACTACTGCTCCGGGGGATTGGAGTAATTCAGTTGACAGGGGAGCTCTCTGCCATCTGCGTACAGCATCTGCCCTAACAGCAGTCCAGCACTGCTGTAAGCTCTGTAGTGTCGCCACAGCCTAATAGTTGCACGTTCTGCAGCTCACCACTCTTCTCCAAAAGTTCTCCCCCATACACACATCTCTCTACCCTCCAAGAGGCACAATTTAGCCCCAAAGGGAGACATTCGACTTTAAATCTAGTCGGTTTCAAAACAGTTATGTTATGTCTCCCAAAATCCATTCAGACCGTCATGACTTTTCACTCAACTACAATGACTTTAGCTGGATCAGAACAACAAAATTAACAACCAGATGATCAAATGAGCACTGTGAGAGGCTTCCTTGATTCCAGATGCTCTCAGGCACATTTTGTTCTTAGGTTCAATCTCTAGTCAATGACACTACAAACTATCAACTGAAAACTATTTTGAATTCTTTAAGGGTAGTAAATTTGAAGGGGCTAGAACTTCTGGGACTGTGTTGCTGGCAATGAAGAAAAATCAAATTTGTCTGCTTGAAGCTGCTGTTGAACATTTGGGTGCCAGCAGCCTCACCAGGCTATAGAAATTAACATTCATATTGCTTCAGTGCTTTTACTCAACAAAGTGGCTTAGCGATTAAACAGGAATCAGGCCATAATGACAATGCACAAACTGACAATCTGCTAAGCTAATTTACCAGCTACTCAGTGAGGAGGGAAAGGAGAGGAAAATGTCAGTTGTTGCCTCTAAAATTACATTTAAATACTATGAAGTCTGCAATGAATGACAGAGTGCAGGAACATTTAACAGAGATTCTAACCACCAGATCACCTGCCTTCAGGACATATTGCCCTTGACGAAAACTTTGTTTCCATTGTTCACTTGCATTACAGTGGGAGAACATGGGTCTTTGTAAGAATGTAATTGATGTAAACAAGCCCAGGCACATATAGGTAGCAAACACATGCCGGGACTTGATATAGACAAGTGACTGGCTCAAGTGCAGACTTTCCAGACCCATCAAACTATTCTTCATTGGCTTGACAGGGAACATTTATCGGTTCAGTCACAGTAAAACCAAGCAGCACTAATGGAGAACTTTACTTGTCTATACGAATATAAGAATGGCCATACTGGGTCAGACCAAATGTCCTTCTAGCCCTGTCTTCTGACAGTGGCCGGTGCCAGGTGCCCCAGAGGGAATGAACAGAAGAGGAAACCATCAAGGGATACATCCACTGTCGCCCAATCCCAGCTTCTGGCAAACACAAGCTAGGGACACCATCCCTGCCCATCCTGGCTCACAGCCACTGATGCCTCCATTAACCTACCTAGTTTTTTTTAACCCTGTTATAGTCTTGACCTTCACAATCGGTGATCCCACTAATTTTTCCGACCTCTAAGCAGAATGAATTTTCTTATGTGCACCAATGTGGAGGTGATGTGTGACACAGAGGTGACGTGTGACACATCACTTCATATTGGTGCACATGACAAAATTCATATAGTGGGAGTGGGGCCAAGAGGATCTGAGTGTGGAAGGGGGCTCAGGACTGGGGCAGAAGGATGGAGGCCAGATAAGTGAAAGGGCTCAGGCTGGGCATGTGGGCTCTGGGAGGGGAGTTGAGAGGCTCGGGGCTGAGGCAGAGAGTTGGGGTGCAAGGGCTCTGGCGGGGGTGCAGGCTCTGGGGTGGAGCTGGGGATGGTGGCTCCAGATTTGGGGAGGGGTTCAAGGCTTGGGATTGGCATGCAAGAGAGGGTACAGGCTCTGGGATGGGGGTTGGGTTGCAGGAGGGGTACAGACTCTGGCGCTTTGTGGGAGGGCTGTGATAAGGGCTTTGGGGTGCAGGAAGGTGCACAGGGCTGGGGGGATCAAGATGCAGGGGCAAGAGGCTTGGGTTTACCTGGGGCTTGGGCTTACCAGGACTTGGGCTCCCTGCTGAAGCCAGCGGGGAGTGGCTCCTCTCCACCAGTCATGGCAGCTTGGTGTTTGGGCCACTGGGGAATGGCTCATCTCCACCAGCCCCAGCAGCTCCATGCTGGGACCAGCCCTGGCAGCGTCAGGGCTTGGAGAAAGATATCTCTTCCTGCTGCAACCCTGAGCCCCTATGCAGGGCTTAATGGGAAACTGCATGGTTGTTCAGCTTAGAGGGAACTTAGTGCAAACATCCTCTGGGAGGAGTTCCACAGGTTGACTGTGCGATGCATGAAGAAAAACTTGTTTGTTTTAAATATGCTGCCTATTAATTTCATTTGGTGACAACTTCTTCCCCTTCTCCCCACACACAGACTTCTTAAATTATGAGAAATTAAGTAACACTTCTTTATCTACTTTCTCCAAATCAGTTACAGATCTCTATCATATCCCTGCTTACTCTTCTCTTTTCCAAGCTGAAAAGTCCTAGTCCTATTCATCTCTCCCTATAAGGAAGCCGTTTCATACCCCAATCATCTTGTTACCCTTTTCTGAACATTTTCTAATTCCAATATATCTTTTTGAGATAAGGCGACCACATCTGAATGCAATATTCAAGATGTGGGCGTACCATGGATTTATATAGAAATAATATGATATTTTCTCACTTATTTGCTATCTTAATGATTACCAACATTCTGTTTGGGGTTGTTTTGGGGTTTTGTTGTTTTGTTTTGTTTTGTTTTGTTTTTTGACAGCTGCTGAATACTTAGTGGATGTTTTCAGAAAAACTATCCACAAAGCTAGTGGAAATGCAGTAGGTTTAAAAGTTAAAATAAAAAAAGAACAAGTTAAAAATTACTTTGAAAAGTTAGCTGTCTGCAAGTCACCAGGGCCTGATGAAATGCATCCTAGAATATTCAAGGAGCTAATAGAGGAGGTATCTGAACCTTTAGCTATCATCTTTTAAAAATCATGGAAAACAGGAAAGAATCCAGAAGACTGGAAAAGAGTAAATATAGTGTCCATCTATAAATAGGAAATAAGAACAACCCAGTAAACTACAGACCAGTCAGTTTAACTTCTGTGCCAGGAAAGATAATGGAGTAGGTAATTAAAAAAATAATCTGCAAACCTCTGGAAGAAAATAAAGTGATAGGTAACACCCAGCATGGATTTGTAAAGAACAAATCATGTCAGACCAATGTGATAGCTTTCTTTGATAGGATAACAAGTCTTGTGGATA